GTGTGTGTGTGTGTGTGTGTGTTGTGCGCGCGCGCACAACGTAGATACGCGCCTGTAAAATACTTGACAGAGAAACACCCGTCACACGAAATCTTCAAGGGTTATGTCACTATTTGGAACAATACATTAAAGACAAAATATCTTATAATTTTCTGGGGGAGAGAGAGAGAGAGAGAGAAGAGAGAGAGAGAGAGAGAGAGAGAGAGAGAGAGAGAGAGAGAGAGAGAGAGAGAGAGAGAGAGAGAGAGAGAGAGGAGAGGAGAGTAAGGAAGGAGGACTGGGAGGGACGGAAAGGAGAATGAGTGAGCGAGAGAGGGAAGGGGAGGAGAAGGTGTGGGAGGAGGAAAGGAGGAGAGGAGAGCACAGGAGAGAAGAGGAAAAGAAAGAGGAGGAGCGACAGGAGAGGCGAGGGGAAGGAAAGGGAAGGGATGGGAATGGAAGAGCATGAAATGGAAGGGAAAGAAAATGAAGAGAATAGAGAAGAAAATGAATGGAAGGGAAGGAAAAGAAAGGGCTAAGAAGCGAAGGGAAGGGAAGGAAAAGAAAGGAAAGGAACGGAAAGGAAAGGAAAGGAAAGGAAAGGAAAGAAAAGGAAAGGGCGGGACAGAGAAGTGAACGGGAGGGAAGAGAAGGGAACGGGAGGGGAGGGAGAGGGAGATATGTATATATAAACTGTACAACAGACAGATAGATGGATAGATATATAAGTAGACAGATAGGTAGATAGGTGGGTAATTAGGTAGACAGATAGCTATAGAAATGTAGGTAGGTATAGATAGATAGATAGAGATAATAGATAGTAGATAGATAGATAGATAGAGAGAGAGAAGAGAGAGAGAGAGAGAGAGAGAGAGAGAGAGAGAGAGAGAGAGAGAGAGAGAGAGAGAGAGAGAGAGAGAGAGAGAGAGAGAGAGAGATATCTTCTCCCGCCAAAACCCCTTGGCAAAGACATCAGCCCCGTGACACGCAAAAGGCCAAAGTCTTGAATGAAAATCGGATTATCTCTTTAATTCTTCATTCGTTATGACAGCCGCGGACAGCCAGGACTTTTCACTTTACGTCTTAAGGAGTAAAACATTACGTGACGGAGCCGCGAACAAGTCCCCCTCGCCTTGAATATGCAGCGGGGATAATGCAGCGACACAGGCACTCGGCGAGGGTTTAACATAATGTTTAGCTCCTTGCATGCACTTATATATATATGCGTCACATGTAAATATAAACAAATTATAAAGACGCACGTGCATACATACGTACGTACAGGTATTCATATATAA